GCAACTTACTAACCAAAACATCATCCTGCTTTATTTTCCTTGAAGATTTTTGAAGTAACTGTCTTTTTGCCAGACACCCATGCACAACATTGCATACCTCTTTGTCCCTTGCATTCAGTCCCATTTAAAAAATGGTCTTCTCTATTTTTTAATTTCTAGGGCCAAGACAGTGCATTCCACAAAGTCCAATCTTTAAAAAAAAAAAACTCACTTCAGATCATTTGGCATTTTTGAAGCATATAATTACTCGGAAAACAAGAGGTAAGTAGGAGATCAAAACACAGAAATCAGAGACTCAGTGAAAAATTAATAGTAATTTGCTTTCTAAGGACTAGGTTTTGAACATTGTTTTCCATAAAATTGTGCTTAAAGAAAAGATATCAAATGATTCATCATGTCCTCTCCCTCTTTTTACATTCTCATGTAGGTCGCCTCTTGAGCTGAAACCCTGCCTTTCCAGAAAACACTACTCCCTAATTAACAAACAAACAAACAAACAAAAAACTAACAATGGATTACAAGAATTTAAGATGTTCGTTAACAACTCTAGGCACTTCAAGATTGCATTTGTACTGATGCAAAATGAAATAAATGCAGCACAACTGGATTTTTTTATTTCTCTAGCTAGCCCTTTTCACCAAAACAGTAGGACTTTTGTTTGGTTTGTGAATGCCAAAAAGATGTAAATTTTGCAAAAAAAGCAAGCTAATGAACAATAAAAGGAAATCAATAAGTATTATTTTGTTTTCTCCTGATTTTCAACTTGTCTGACAAACTGCCCATGAAGCTGACCAGCTAAACTGCTATTTAACAGAAAGAATAGCTGGTATTATTTACCTTGAATGGCTCTTTTATTTTATGTAAGCTTCTACAACTGTTTTTTACAACTTGTATTACTGTTCTACTTTAACAGTAATAATCTACACCCTATTCTACAATAATGTGAGGAAAAATATACGAGAAAAATTGCTTACACATTCTGGCTGCAACTTTGAGATTGTAAAAAAAAATTTCCAATTGCCCTTCTCTCCATGTTAACAAATTCTTCATATTCCCCGTTTCTTTGTGCCAGTAACAAATGATCTCATCTTTGACTACGCTTAGGCAAACATTTCACCTACTGTTTTATAAAATGTCTTTTACATTAAAAATGTAAAAATAACTTGCAGTAAAAAGTCAGTAGTACATAAATGTACTACCACTAATTTATAAAATTAGCCAAACATGGAGCAAATGCCATTGCTGGGTGGACCCAGTTCCTGAGTAAGCTGATTTTAAGAATACATTACGACTTCATTGCCTGGAAGTTATCGCACGCTGATTTTGAGTCACCAAGAGAATACTTTCATAATTCTTTAAGTGAGTACTTAACACCAGCTTTCAGACAAGATTTTCTGAGATATCCATTTATACTCCTGTGCTAGGAGGTATTAATAGCATTGATCAATCTGGTAAAAGCTAAAGCTAATATTCTTCAGTCTGGTTAAGCGAGGGAGTTCCTAAGTGCTTATTTTTTAGTGATAGCTGATACAAGAAGGCATGACTCCTTGTCATCCAGCAAGACAAGCCTGAACGCAATCAAGGGAATCACCCAGAGCTTAACTACCAATGCATTAACTGCAGCAATGACCTGCTACAGCCAACGTGTCTGAAAACGTGCAAAAGACTATAGAGCGTGGAGGCTATGAGCAGACAGCAGGAACAGAAATAGTTCATATCACATAAGGGAATGAGTGAAGAGCTTTGGTACTGAAGAATGCAGTTCCCAGAACTCAGCGAGGTGTAGGGCAGGCATGGCAGAGTACTTGCATGTGACCAGGCACCACCGGGAATCCCTGCACCCACAAGCTCTGCCCTAGGCTCCCTAACCTTCTCATCTGACTTGAAGGTCAGGGAAAGAGTTCATGAGCAGCAAAAGCGATGAGATCTGATTTCTTATGGAATTACGTGCTTTGTCCCTTAATCTTCTGCTGTCCACCTTCTCCGTAAAACACCCATTGGGCAAGGCTGAGGTTACTCATGCTCATGGTATGAACAAAACACGGATGGATGGTTGCTGCAGAACATGATCTGCAGTTCATATGCTTGGCCTTTACCTCAGCAAGGGCATTAATTTTGCTTTCCCTGCCATACAACTACCTCAGGCTTTACAAAACTTGTAGGAGCTTAATTATTTCCAAGACCACAACCCTCTGTGAAATATGATCCAAATGTGGTTCAAACATCACTTTGGGAAGAGGAAGAGGATGGGGATGAAAAGATAGAGACTTTGTGCTATAAATACTTTTTTTTTTTCTTTAGAGATGGAATTTGATTTTATAAGGGCAAACTGCAGTACTATATGCTTAAATCCTGCAGAAAGCTACAAACTCATCAGCTGAAAATAAAAGTAATGGATTAAAAATGGGTTGTATTAGTCAATTGCAAGGTGACAACAATGCCTAATATGATCTGAAAAACATATGCAACCCCAGAATGTAGTAGTTGAGGAACTTCCAAAAGAGATGAAGACTATTAATGCCATTGTAAAGGGTCCTGGTGAAATGTCCTTAGAAATAAGTGTCAAAAGTATTTAAGAAAAACAAGCTCAGACTGGAACACAGGCAAATAAGGGATACTAAGATGGTAAGAGAAATTAAGAACTTGCAGGTTGAGACTAGAGGAACTAAACTTGTTCAGCCTAGCAAAGTGAAGGCTAAGAGAAAATATTCTAACTCAAAAACTGGGTGTAAAATCTAAGGAGGAAAAGTAGCCATTGCAAATAAGGTAAAGGACTAGTGTTGGTGCAAGAACAAATAGACACAAACTAGTCATACAAATTGAGGTTAGAAATTCCATCAGATGGTTTCTAGTCTTCAGAAGAGTTAGAGCAGTCTTCCTATGAGTACAGCTGAGCTACAAACTCAGTATTTGCCTGCCACAAAGAAGAAAGCGGAAAAGCACCTCCACCCTCTAGACCATCCACAGCCCTTTAGCTTCTAATACCAGATCCCAGCAGCATTCCTCACTGCTGGCTTGCAGGACGTGTTCTGCTTTTTCTTTTTTTGACTTATCTGTCCCCATGGGAAGTTCCACTGGTAAAGAAGCCTAAGCTAGTTAGCGAGCTCCTTTTATGGCCAGTGGAGATGCATACTCTTTGAGGGCAAATCATCCCATCTATCTTAGCCACTGAAATATCTTCTTTCTTTCCTGCTGTTCAGTGGAACAGAGTGATCTCATTTAGGAATTCTATTTCTTACTCCACCGACTTCTTGCTTAAAATACTCAGCTCTGTGTGAAAACTCACTGTCTTCACTCCCCACCACCCATGGTAGATCATACTTTTACTCCCTTTCACATTTTGCTGTTTGCACCTTCTGCCCATCAAATTCAACTTTTTAATGGTCATTATTTCAGTAAAAAGAAGAGATTTAATTCTTTCTGGGAATGCCTTTATACATAGTATTCCATAAAGAAAAGAAATTGCATTGTCTTTACCCAGGCTTTTCACTAAAAATGCTTTTTCATTTTCACCTAATTAAACGATTCATTTTCTATCTTCTCAAAGTTATGCAGTGAAACAAGAAAAGCCAATGCTATTCTTAAGTCATAATTGTGCAGACTGTATGTACCTATCTGTAGCTACTGCTTGAAAGTTTCAGTAGGTAAAATGTATATGGACAATCATCTCCATGAAAAAATGTATTAATCCCACACTGTTACTCTTTGAGATACATCCTGCATACACTCCATGACCTTCCTCATTATTAGAGGTTTCTTACCCAGCTGAGCTCTGAGTTCGTAAAATAACTCTTGGCTACCTTAACTCTGTGTTGTTGGGACAGCTAGTTACTTCTGTTGGACTGTTCCTAAAAGGATTATTTTCCTAAGCCTTCGGAAGGACACATATACTGGAAAGCTGAACATAGCTTCCTAACCTCAACTCGTGTGCAACAGGTAACCAATCCTTCCTAGGTCAAATCTAAGCCCATTTTTATCATCTGATAGGTATTTTGGCAGACCCAGATAATGAAACTGGAGGGGGATTTACAGGTGGGAAGGGAAGTTGGGAAAAACAGTTCTTCAGTGGTACAAAAGAGGAGACAGGGAAGTGGGAGTGGAGTAGCAGCCGTATAACTTAAAAATTTATCCAGAGCGATAGCTCATTCACACTACGGATCAACAATATGACTGGGGAAATAACACTAATTTCCATTCTGTTTTTGGGGTGCTTTGTTTGCATGTTTATAGCGTTGTGTTGCCCTCAATATATGAAAGGAGGCACTGTCCATACATATTTATTTCTTTCAAGAAACACTAATTTCACCTTACATTTTCTTTAACAAAAAGCATTTCAAGCATAATCTGTCAAGAACTAAAAGTAGTCAATGTTAACCTTATTAACTAAAGCTGTTTTCTTGTAATGAATAAAAGCTAGTGAAAGGTTTAAGCTATACTGGCTAAAATTCAAGCTAATTCAGGTATTTAGTGGTCTTCATTTAAACTCTGGTGTAAAGTAACTCTAATCGCCACGTTATTTAATTCCAGACCAAAAACATACAGCTTGCTTTATTATTTTAAATGCAGCTGCTCTTACCTTCTGAGGAGACGTGCCCTACGCTTCAGCCTCAGCCTCACTCCCTCACAAGCCAGCAGCCACCGCCGCTCCCAGCCTCCTGAGCAGCGCCAGCTGCCTCCTCCTCACCCCGCTGCCGGCTCCTAGCCCCCTTTCCCAAGTCAGAAACGTCTGTTTTCCACAAGGCGAGCCCTATTAAGGTGCCGCTGCCCCCGCACCACCGCATTTTGAGGGACCCTGTGGCAATGGGGTGCCGCCGCAGCACCACCCGCCCATCGCACTCATCCAGCTGCTCTCCGGGGTTGAACCCCTTCGGCCTTCCCCTCAGGGTACCGCCCTCCGGGGCACACCGCCGTGGCCTGTGCCAGGGTCGAAGGAGGCGCAGCCCGGGGTCAGCGGCCCTTCCCCGCCGCCGGGCGCCGCTTGTGTTTACCAGCGGCGATGGCGGGGTTCGGCGCGGCTCAGCCGGGGCAAGGTACGGGGGCGAGCGGTGAGGGGCGTCCATCCGCCGGGCTCCTTGCGTCCCTGGGGGCTCCATACTGCCGCCGGGCCCCAGGATGCCTCCCGCCTGCTAGGGCAGCCCTGACCCGGCCTCTGCCCCGGGGCGCGGGTGGGCCGGCGCCATGCCGGGCTCTCCTCAGGAGCGAGGCCTCCCTACGCCCCTCTCACCGCGGTCGCCCTCGGCCCCTCCAGGCTTCACGGGCGGGTCTATCACCCCACTTCTTCCTCCATTTAAAGAAAATGTCTGGGGGCTGTCATTGTTGGGGGTTGTATGCATCTGTCCCCTGGCACATACAGTTTTTAACAGTGGCAACAACAACCCTTTCTGTTACAGCTGTAACAGAGACCTCATGCTATCAGCTCCCTGAGTTTCTAATAGCACCAGAAATTAATTAATCAAGATGAAAAAAACCTGTGTTTTCACCAGATTTCCCTATTTCTTTAAAAATATTTGCATGTTCTCTTCCCCACTTAGGGGATTTGAACAAGATAAAAGAATCTAATCATTCATAGATACGCTTATTTCAAATTATAGCATCCACAGCGTATTGTATTTATCATCTGAGAGCTCAGTTTGGTCATTCTCTGACTGTGTTTCTTTGCTAAGGTGTACGTCTTTGATACTAGTTGAGACCATGGGAGCGGCATTGGCAAGAGCAGTTCAGTGGACTGCTGCTGGTTCTGGAACTGGCACACTCGAAATCACCCCTTTGAACGAATCTCTTTTAAATCAACTTATTAAGTTTGCAGAGGACTTCAGCACTAGACATCCTCAGGAAGCAGCATTTGTCTTCAGAGAGCCCCTTGAGTGGAAAACGCAATTGGGATGTTCAGTATTTGGAGAGGGTTATGAGATAAAGTAAGTCTGAACTGCAGTGTGTTTTGAAGCAAAACTATGCTCATTTAGCATAAAGAAAGCCTAAGTGTATTTGGGAGGCTGAAATGGGTGGGGTTTTTACTGGTACATATTGAAAATTTTGAGTTAAAATTTGTAGGCTTTTTTGAGAGTTTGAGACTATTCTATCTTGGTTGTGATACAGACCTGTTTAGTTAGGCATTTGTACAACTTATACTGTCTACTCCTAAAACTTTTTACAACACGTGTGTAACAGTGATTACCTGTGTGATTTCTGTTAGTGTTAGGAGTGGCTCCTGTGTGGTGGGTTGACTTTGGCTGGTCACCAGGTGCCCGCCAGGCTGCTCTATCATGCCCCTCCTCCGCCAGACAGGGGGAGAAAAACATGACGAAAGGCTCGTGGGTCGAGATAAGGACACAGAGATCACTCACCTATTACCATCACGGGCAAAACAGACTTGGCTCAGGGAAATTAAATTTCTTGCCAATCAAAAGTCATAGTAGGATAATGAGAAATAAAACCAAATCTTAAAACACCTTCCCCCCACCCCTCCCTTCTTCCCAAGCTCAGCTTCACTCCCAATTTTCTCTACCTCCTTCCCCTGTGTGGTGCAGGGGGATGGGAATGGGGGTTGTGGTCAGTTCATCACACATTTTCTCTGCCGCTCCTTCCTCCCCAGGGGAGGACTCCTCACACTCTTCCCCTACTCCAGCGTGGCATCCCTCCCACGGGAAACAGTCCTCCATGGACTGCTCCAACATGAGTCCTTCCCACGGGCTGCAGTTCTTCACAAACTGCTCCAGCGTGGGTCCCTTCCACAGGGTGCAGTCCTTCAGGAACACTGCTCCAGCCTGGGTCCCCCACGGGGTCACAAGTCCTGCCAGCAAACCTGCTCCAGCGTGGGCTTCCCAAGGGGTCACAGCCTCCTTCAGGCATCCACCTGCTCCAGTGTGGGGTCCTCCAGGGGCTGCAGGTGGAGATCTGCTCCACTGTGGACCTCCATGGGCTGCAGGGGGACAGCCTGCCTCACCAGGGTCTTCAGCAGGGGCTGCAGGGGAATCTCTGTTCTGGCACCTGGAGCACCTCCTCCCCTCCTTCTTCACTGACCTTGGTGTCTGCAGAGTTGTTCCTCTCATATTCGGCGCTCCCACCATTGCTGATGGGCTTGCCCTGGGCCAGCGGCGGGTCTGTGTTGGAGCCAGCTGGTGTTGGCTCTATTGGACATGGGGGAAGCTTCTGGCAGCTTCTCACAGAAGCCACCCCTTTAGCCCCCCCACTACCAAAACCTTGCCATGCAAACCCAATACACTCCTGATTAAGCACAGCTGATATTGAGGCAAATTAACAAGCACAGTCTTGCATTACAGCTTCTTTGTGAACAGCAGTCTCCAAGTTCTAAGTAGGTAGTTTTAATATATAAACAAGGTTTCAGTCTTAATCAAAATAGCCGTTATACTGCTGTAGTTTAGTTATCAAATATTCTAACAGTTCTTCTAGTGTTTGAACATTAGTGCTGAAAAAGTAATGATAATCAAGAGGTTTATGCTTCTTTTTTAATCTGGTGCTGACTGATTTTGCAATGATACCTAAGACTTACAATAACTATTTAATTTTTGTCATTCTTTGACCAATGACGTAGCAAGGTGCCATGAATGCACAAAATCATTTTTCTTGACTAAATCACAAAGCTACTGGAGAATTTTTAGAGTTTTCCTTGATAAGTTGTCAAATTCAGATTCTGTTTAGATAATGCTGTAGAAATACCCTAATTCTGAGAAAATATTCCATTCCCTTCCACCAGAGAGTTCTTTCCAAATAGAAATATACATTTATATCATTTTAAGTCAGTTGTCATTTATGAACCTAATAGTCAGAAAATCACTCAGCAATCTTGTAGAAGGAACATGCAGGATATGAGTGAATATTTTGTGAGGCCAAACAGCAGGTGTGACCAGTCCTGTAAGAATATTTTTTCACAATTTGGCCTGTCAAAATTCTATTTAAAGATGTTGCCAAGGTAAAGCAAATGAGTTACAGGTGTCTGATTTGCTGTGAATGAATCTGTTTACCTCAGAAGTTTTCTGAAATACAGTTTAAAAAAATTGCATATGCGTTATCATGTGAAGCTTGAATAACATTGAAGATTCTTCTCTAAAATTTGCTGCTTATTGAAGTTCTTATTTTAAAAAGATACAATTTAATTTTTCTAGAGGAGCCACTCTTCAGTCTGAAGCCAAAGGTAAAGATGGCCAACCGTTGCTTCTCCTCACGGCATCAAGTCTCAGAGTTCGCAGTTTTGACCAGCTGTCCTGTTTGCTACAAATCGCTATGGAAGAAAAGTTTAAGGAAGCACAGGCATGCCTTGAAGGTTTCCTTTCTTCTTTTTTTTCATCTTTCCTCTTTCTTAAAAAATATGTCTTCTCCTTCAATTCATGTTTATGAAATGTGAAGAAAGGCAGGCATGCCTTCATTTTAAGTATGTAAGAAGGTGTTGATTCATGAAGGTGGCTAAAGGTGCTGATCCAGAACTTAATGAAGTTTCTATTTCTTCTTTTATTTTCACCGAAATCAGTAACAGAGAAATCTGGAATAAAGTTAAAATAAAACTGTTGAATCTCATATACAAATTCATGTATACTGATTAATACTGCAGCTATTGCAACAGACAGTAGGTTTAAATTTCTGAAAAAGAATGTCTTATTGGAGGCTAATAGCAGTCTTTCCTATGTTTGTAGTTTAATCCTCTTTCAAAGTGTTACATCCTTAAAAAATAGCCACAGAAAAACTTACATGCTTAAGACATTCTTACCTGCACAAGTTTCACAGTGAGCACTTCCAGCTCCTTCTCACAATGGTTTTTAAAATATAGGTACGAGTACTTTTACTGTGTCATATTCAAGTCCTAGATTTTAACTGACAAGACGACCCTTGATATTCTAAACTGGGTATCTTCCTCTCATTGGAGGTAGAAGAGATCAGTAATATTCTTTGATAATATTAGTAGAAATTGCATCTGCAATACTAAAATATAAATGCTCATACTGGATCAGACTTCAGAACCATCTAATCCAGGGTCCTGTCACTGACAGCGATCAGTCATGAAAAATAGGGAAGAATAATACGGACAGGGTATTGTGCAGAGGCGTTCACAGATGCATGGGACTTCATTTGCAGGAACAGAGCAAAATATTTTCGTAAAACCCATTGACATGCAGTTATGTCACTGTTTATCAAAAAGAACAGCTGGCATAGCTGAGGAAGTAATGGGGCCATTGGGAATGCTGATAGAAAACTTTAAAGATGTTCTTTAACACTAAATCATATTTCTAAAATAATCAATTTTCAGTGAGTTAAACCCAATGATTTCCTGTTTTAGTGATCAGCCAGGCATATTTTCTGGAAAGGGGGCTGTTGATAAATGGAAATATTTAATAATCACCTCTTGGTTGAATGAATCTTAATCTTTGTTGTGAAAAGCAATTTTGTTTGTTATGAAAAATTTCTTTTTGTTCTTAGTGTTTTCATGTTTTTAAAAGTGCATTTGAAACTACAACAGAGAGATATGAAAGAATACATCATACAGTAATATTTGATGAATAACTATGCACATTATTAGAGTTCTTATGGTAAATTAATAGCATGAAAATTATTCAGCAATTGAGATAAAAAGTTTGTCTTGCCTAATCATTTTTAACATAGTATCACATTATATGGTTCTGTTTCATGTTTACAGCTAACAGAGATCCTATAGTGAAAATTCTTGGCCCTGAATATGGGACTGTTGAAGGAGAAGATATGTCCATGTTGCATTTACTTGACAAAGTGAAAAAAGATGATGACCCTGAAACAGAGATGAAAACGAAAATCTTTCTTCTTCTTCATCAGCTGGATTTGCAACTGCTTGATAGTTCTTTGAAACACATTTCACAGTAAGTGCATTTCAAATGGAAGCTAAACATGCCAACCAGTGCATTTTTTTGTTTTATTGTTAAATCAGATTGGTTTCAACTCACAACATGTGCTTTTGGTGTGACATAAAGAAATTTATTGAAATAACTCTCACTGTTCAGTAAGTTATTGAAAAAACATTTTTTTTCTGAAGAATTTGCTGTAGGTGTGGGTATGCAAGAGTGTGCCTGCAAGTGTGGTTTTTTTATTGCATATGTTTTGAGTTTTGGTAGCAAATTGAAGTAATTTGTACAAACAACAAAGAGAAATATTTTCAAGGAAATGTTTATTTCTTCATGGAAGTGTATTAAGTATTACATTGAGTCTGTTTCGTAGTTACAAGGACTTCATATTAGCTATGGAACTAAAATTTCACTAAACAGATAAAATTAAGGAAAACAATGGGACATGACCCATTTCCAGGTTTTTGTTGCTAGTATTAAGACTCAATGTAAAAGAAAAAAGTCATGTAATATTCTCTTTTCATTTCTCTAAGTACATCCTTTTGATGAATACATTTTGGACCATTTTCTATTAATTGCAGAGATGTAAGACTAAATCCAGCTGCTATAAATAATGAAGTGAATCTTCTCAAGAATTTCTCTGGGAAAGGAGAAGATACAGTACTGGAATCACTGGAATATACATCAGGTCCAAATCTGACCATATCTCACGTTTATATATACCTTTATTAAAGTACTTTACTTCTGTGTGAAATTTGCTAACTTAATTTCAGTAATAAATTTGAAGTGTTTATTTCTACTTCAAAGTTATAAAGTAAAAGAAAAAGTATTTTCAGATATGGAATGCTGTTCTTCAGCCTTTAGTTATAGAAATAATCTCCAATCATATGAATTTCTTCAGTGGAAGTAGAGGAAGTGAACTGAGTCCCTGATCCTGAAAAGTGCTAAGCACAGTTGTAGTTCTTAGCTGGATTGGGCCACGGGTCACAGAGCTTTGCATGATTAATTCCTAACAGTGTGAGTTCTTAAAAGTAAGATATTGTTTTGGGAATTTTATTTGTATACATGTTGCATTTATCATCAAACATAATTATTAAAAAAAATTTTAAACTGGATAAAAACACTAATGCTAATTGGTTACAGATTACACATTCTCTAATGGATGCCGAGCTCCTCCCTGGAGACAAGTGCATGGAGAAATTTGTTACTTAGTCGTCAAACCACATGACACTGATCCTTTGTACATCACGTGCAGCACAGCAGGAGTGTTTTTAAATGGAGTAAGTAATAATAAAGGATACCATGAAGTAATGAGTATTTTTATGTGCTAAAATCAAATATCCATCAGGTTTAGGGTAGTGGTGTTGAGGCTGTAAGACCTGCAGAGTTAGTCTATCAGTACAGAAGGATAAGACACAGTAATAAATGTATGCTAGTTTTCCCATATGTTTTGAGTGCTTTTTCTATAAGTTTTATACTTGGCATGTATTCTGCACTTTTTGCTAGCAGTATTTCTTTAGTCTTTAAACGTGCCCTAACAGTCCTTCACACTATTCCTGTTTAAAGGTACTGTGGGACTAGATGCCTCTCTAGTGCCTCATTGCTCTTGGTCTGAGGTCTAATATTATTGGGCGGCCAATATAGAATGCTTTTGTCATTTTATAAATGATAGGCAGTTCTTTCTTCTTTCAGTGGAAGCTTTTTAAAAATTATTTATTTTTTTTCTTCTACTTTTCATTTTGGTTAATTCTTTCCTTACAGATTTTATTTAGACATAATAGTCCCTTATGTATTTTAAACAGTGACCAGAGCTCTTACATTCATTTTGAAGAGAGACTGATGCCCGTCAGGTGTAACTCCACAGATTGATTTCCTAAGAGTTAAAAAATCCAGGGAAATTTTGACTTAGCACATTTTTAACGGATGAAGCTCATAAAGCTTAGGCTCAGTCAGGTCACAGTATTTTCTGATCCTTTTAGACATCTGCCATACTGCACTGGAAGCTCATATTTACTTGGTTGTTTGCCATGAGCCATAAATTCTTTTCAGTGGAACTACCCACAGTACAATTAACTGATAGTAATTACTTGCAGAATTCTATGTAAGATCTTGATTATCTGTTGGGATCCATGGAGACGATCCGTGCATCTTTACAAAGCATTATTGAAGTAGTTTGATCGACTCTGTGCTGAGCATGAGACTGCTATACATAATTCATTACAGTGTGACCTCTGTGCTCTTTAGCAGTATTTCATGATGCAGATTAAATTACCTGTGTAAGGCAATGCTATTAATAATAATTTAAAATTTATTCTTTTTTTAAGGGTGAGCTAAAGAGTAAAGATGACATTGACTATGAAAGAAAAAGTGATGTATATAAAGATATTGTCACATTTTTAAGGGAGAGATCACCTAGATTTGTAGAAAATATGGCTAAACAGGTATGTATTTACTGATACTGTGTGTATATTCTATTTTGTACAAACGTACATTGTACATTGGTAAGAATTACATTATAAGCCTGGCTGAACGTTTCTTTTCTTTATCAAAGATAAATCTGTGATTAAATGAAGAATTTTAAAGACTCTGAAATGCATTTATTATCTTTCTTTGGATTTGTTTCAGTTTCTACTAAATATGTTCCTTTCGTAAATAGCAAATAATACACTATTTCATATAGCGTTCTATCATACCTTATCATGAGGTTTGATCCAATATGTGAGGTCAGCTTCTAATTTTGCATAAAAAGTTTTGCTTGTCTTCTGGTGTTATTCTTTATGGAGCACTGGAAATGTTAAAGCAGGAAAATATGATATCCTTACGGAAAAGGTCAACTTTTTATGACAATATTTTTCTGTGATGAAAACCACTTGAATTTTAATCTTCATTCTTTGTAGCCCAAATATAAATAATAGCCCAACTTTTTTACGAGAACTGCCTGATTTAAATATCAGAGCTGAAAGTTAAGCATCCAGCTTACATGCTGTGTTGCTTCAGCCACTGTAAAATGCAAGTGTTTTGGCTTTTACTTAGAGCTCTATATTAGCTAGAGTTACATAGTGCTGCTACAATTTTAGTTGTTTCATCATTCCTGATAAAAACTCTTTTTTCAGATTTCTAGTGTGGTTATAATAGATTAATAACTGGGTGGTAAAATTCATTAGAGGCTAAAACCTGTCAAAAGTTTTATTGTGGTTATTTATATGCAATTTTAATTATTGCAAGAAGGAAGTCATTAACAGGGAAATTTTCTTGTCCTTTAGTTCTGATTTTCTGGGATGTAGGGCTGATATTTATTGTCTTTGAGATATAGATATTTGAAAGTTCTGAAAGAACAGAGCATTTCAAGTTGTACACATAAATACAGCAGCTTATATTAACAGTAATGGAATTAAATTTGTAAGTTGTTCTGTTTGAAAGTGCAATAAGTTCCAAAATGTGTTTTATTTATCCCATAGACAAGTATTTTTTAATGTTATATCTACATATTGGTTTACATTTCATAAATGTGGCAATATATGAATGTTTTTAGACATAATTACTGGTTTAATGTACTCTCAAACTGATTTGGCTTCATTTGATGTTCATGAAAGGTAAAAAATGGTAATATTTTAATAATTTTTTACAGTTCTAATCCTAAATGTTAACATAGATTAATGTTAATATCGATAATAGCGATAATATACCTTTCTTTACTGGTTTTCTGCTCTTATAAAGATACTGTGGCTATTCAAGAAATGTGTACACTTATTAAATAAAAGTAAATAAATAGAATTTATCACTTATTCAGTATTCCCTGACTGTGTAAATAAGTTTATGCTGAAGAGTATAAATTATGCCATTTTAATGGTATAAGAATATCATATCATATTGCCTTGCTGAAGAGCTGGTTTAGTACATTCTGCATTCTAAAACTAGAATTTAAACAAGTTAATACTGTAGAGCTGCAGAGCATTTGTAGAAAGAAAATCTTCTCTACTCTGGAACTCTGAAAAGCAGAGAAAAGCTGTATTTCCAAGGTTGCCTACATGAAATAAATTATGACTGGAAATAGTTTTGATTTATTTTCTGAGGAGAGGAGAGCTTCAAAAGGCTCATTACATACACATATATTGCAAACCCAATTAACTTTTATAATATCTTCTTGGCCTTGTTTAAGCTAACATTTAGAATTGCTGTGTTGGCATACAGTGCTGAAGGAAACATACTTTTTAATGTGTGCTTAGCTTGTCAAGCATTGATTTCCCTGTGATTTGTCTAGTTTATCATGTGTTAAATTGTCTTGTCTAGAGTACATTTTCAGAATGAGAGAATTAGCATGAGTTAGTTTCTGATTAGACAGTTAGGTCAGCAAGCCTGGAACAGCTGATTCACATCAGGGACTAGTCAAAAACAGACCATACTGTGACAGTCTCCTTAAAACTGCCTTGAATCAGACACATAAAGGAATGTCTTCACCTATCTGGTAGTGACAGCTGCAATAATAATAATAATAATAAGTAATGATTGTATGCTGTCTTTCCTGTAAAGATTGAATATGTTCCAACAGAGAATAAGAGTTGACAAGGGTCCTTTCTGTTCTGGGTATTTTTGATCAGCCATGGTACTAGACACAGACAGCTGGAGGATTGCTAGGTGACACTCGTCTCCATTCTTGTATGTGACTTGTTCAACAATGTTTTGTCCTGAGAGACAGGAGGTGAAAAAACTGAGATGGAATGTGTTTATATTAATTCTAAACTATATCAAATTAAATTACTTGGAACTGAAGTCTAGCAATTTATCATAGCCTATTTTCAGTTTTGTGTTCATTTTTTGTGGGAATTTTTTGTAAATCCTTTATGCAGTGAAATAGTTTTTATATAAATGATCCATTGAAAGCAGAATGACTGACTTTGCAATTCTAGATCTTAAAACTCATTTGGAAGTAGGTTCTATAAAATTGCTTGTGTCACAAATTATTTAACATATTAGAATTTGAACAACACCCAACATTCAAGTATGTTCAGGAAGTTCCAAATTTAGCTAGTTCGTTTATTTCAAAAACTTTAATTTTCACACAGTAACAGCTACTTTCCAGATTAATGTTTCATTCTTTTAAAGGCAATCTGCTTTTATTCTTATAATCTAGTTCTATATTTAATACATACAATTTTTAAGCACAGCATCCTGGAATTGTGCTTATAACTTACTGTGTTAATATTCATTATTCATATAGCAATATGACTGACAAACCATGTCTCCTTCTTTTATTAGGAATGTAATTTTTTTAAAGAACCAACATGTGAGAAGAATTGTCAGCATATGGAAGCAGTTGATGCTAAAGTCTCTGGCCAATCCCAGAACCTTCACAATTTTACAGAAAAGAATGTATGCGAGAAAGTAAAAAGTTCTGCAGCAAGGAGGTCCATTGACAAGAATAAATTAGAACCATCTATGAAGTGGAAGAATACTGGACTTTCTGCTTCCCACAGATAAGTAGTTCTCTTTATAATTGAATTTTCCTGTAGATCTCTCTAAACTGTGCTAATGATTGGACTGCATGTTATATGTTTGCATTATTATCTTAAGTTAGGAGCAATGAAACAAAATTTACTACATGTTAATTTCTAAGAAGAGAATACGGACTACCAACGACATGTCTCAGTTTTCTTCTGTCATGCAACAACTTTGATGATGTTATGTCATTTCCACAAGCAAGGCAGAGAAATATCTTGCAACCATCTGCAGTACTGGTCCTCCAGGACTGTGATATTATCATATTTTTTGTTTAAAATACCCTTTAAAGCAAGACAGAGTAGACAGTCTAATCTAAACCACACTTTCTGAGGGAGGCAAAAGAGATCCAGGATGGAAAATCAGGATGACTCTTAGTTATACTACCAGTTTTTAATCATTTCATATTATGAGCCACTTCTGTAGCTCTGCTTAGCAACAGTCTTCACTAATGAGATTATGCCAAAGTTTGGACACCCAAAAATAGAGTATACATACATTGGATATTGTTGGATTTGTCTTCTGAAATCAGTACTCCGTTCTGATTTCACGTTTCCTGATTTTGTGTTTATGGAGAAAGAAGAATGTCTGAAGGAAAGGCTTTGATTGCCATCCTACAAAAAAAAATCGGTATCTTCTCAAGTCTGCCAATTTGACATGTTGCAAGAAGCATTTTAAGAGATTTTGGATGTGACCTACAGTCATCAGTTAAAAAAATGTGTTTTTCCAGCGACAAGAGCTTATCTTTTTCCACAGTCATTGTTCGAGTCTAGAGGTAGTGAAATTGGCTGTAATTATGAGTAGTAGTCTCTTGTTGTTGTGACAGTGGTAGTATGACCAGCTCAGGCTTGAAAGGTTTTCACAACATTGTAAATTAGAGACAAAAAAGCACCAGAGATTGTGCCCAACTCAGCCTAGGAGTCTTCTTGGAATATGAGGAAAGCAAGATATATTGTATTCAGTGTGATCAAAGCTATAGAACAGCTCAGTGTGTGGAAGAACTAGGCAGACCAGAACTCTTTTGCCTGGAAAAAAGATGACTGGGGGACAATAAGACAGACACAGAATATCATGACTGGAGATTGTAAATAGGGAACAGGTAGTCACTGTCCATTCTAATACAAGAATGAAGGGCATCAAATGAAAATAAGCCAGTGAGACCAGTTCAGAACAAAGGGAGAGACTTCTTCATACAACACAGGGCTAAGCTCTAAAATTCTTTACCACAAGATGGTAGAGGCTGTTTGTTTATGTGAGTTCAAAAAGCAACCAGACACATTCATGGAAGAAAAATAATCCAAAACTGCTAATGCAAGGATGATGAGGAGTTCCCTGAAGCACAATTTGCTGAAGAATATTCGGGGAAAAAAATAATTTCTGTGTTCTTCCATTGTTCTTCTGCTGTTACCTAAATAGCTGCTATTGGTCATGGTTGGAGATGGTATCCTAGGATGAATGGATCTGTGGTCTGTCTGCATATACTCATTCCTTGTTCTTGTATCACATACAGGTCAGCATAATGTAATTTTTCTAATATTCCACTATTTCGTTAAAGCAAAATTAGTCAGTTAAGACACAGCATACTTTCTATTTAGTGAAGTTGATTGTGGAGGTTCATAAGCTCATATGTACGGACATAATATGTGTCCAACCATAGATTTTGGTTCTATGTATATATAATATTTTTTTTCAATAAAAACAAATATTTTAGTGACAAGGCCACAAAAAAAGATACTGAAGAAGAAGGGAGAAGTAGTACTGTGTCTCTGAAAATGAAAAAGAAAGCCAGTGGCATTTCTTCTGAACCTGTTAAAGTACAACCAGCTTCAAAATGGTATGGGTTACTTATTTTTCTTCCTTCTTCCTTTTTATTTGTATTTTCCATATCTGTAGTAACTATCACCACACTTAATATTTGTCAATGTCAATTATATTTTTCTAATTCTGTTATTAGGCTGTTTTGTCATACCTGTTTAAAATGTACTTGTTCATATTAGTTTATAGCTGTTTAAAATGGGTGATGCTGTTTGTTTATTTTTAGTAAAACATCATGCAGGTTTGAAGACATTAGTGAAAGTTCCTCAGAGACTGAGGAAGATGAAGAACAGCCTGTACGTCATCAGGAAGGAAACACCGATTTGCCATCAGAATACTGGGGAATTCAGAAACTTGCAAAATATTTAAAGGTAAATAAGAAGTGTTGATAAATTTTATAAAAAAAAAAAAAGCTACTCTTTACTGTCTACATCTGAGGACATCAGACCAGCTCCTCATCCTTTCTACCTTCCATATATTTTAGAATAGCCTTGCTATGTAGTATGATCGGATCCTGGAACTGTGGACTTTTCTATCACACACCCGTTTCTCCTGCATTTTTTTATCTGCTGGTTTTGGCTTATATAGACCCTTAGATTAAACCATCTGTTCAGTATTATTTAAAACTTAACATGGTATAATTTCTTTATTAATTATTGGGTTTCAGTTTTGCTTTTTGGGTGATACTTTCCAAGATATTTCTTTATGTGGATAGTAACTTTCAAGAGCTTTTATTAAAACTGAATACTTGCCTAAAGTCTTTCATCAACTATGATTAATGCATGACTGAAGTAATTCTAACGTGGTCTTGTGTCTGGATAGACGCTGTTAGTGGACAAGAAAATGTATGATAAACAGGCATCCTCTAAAATAAAAAAAAAGGTTTCTTACACAGACTTGTTGAAAATCTTTTGGAACCTATAAATATAGATGTTTAGAATTCTGTGTATGTCTGAAACATGTGAAAAAAACTAACAACCCTCTACTATTCTGGAAAACTCTAAAACTAATTATGTGTTTCCCTCAGGAGAAATTCCTTTACAAGTTTTTACTGGAATTCATGTACTGTAAGTTACTAATAAAAGTGCTGGTTTATTTGGTTTTTTGAGTACAGCTACAGAGTGTACACATCCGACTGATAAAATGATGGTGCTGGCATTTGGTACAGCAGAAATACTTGTGAGGAATAAGCAAAGCTTTGGCTCCTTCTAGTCCTTTAACCATTGTAGAAAAGTAACTTAGTCTTTTAAACAGTTTTCAGTGCACTCACACTGCTTGTTCTCAGTTCGTGTATGTGGGACCTATGCTAGTGGTTGTAGCCAGGGAGACACAGAAAAGCATGGATAATACAAGCCTTTCTACAGTTCTCTTTGCCTTATATTTCCTAGGTTAGACCTCTATATTCTTGTCATTTTGCCTATGCTAAAATAACTCTTTGCAAGTGTAATCTGGTGTAACATTCCACGTGTAACTTGCTCAGCTATCTGCTAATGCTAAACACGCCAATATACATTTTGCATGATACAGTTGTTTCTATTTGCATATTACAGTTCAAATCTTTCAATCTACTAATAGCTTGCTTCTCTCTGTCTTATGGACCACCTCTTTGTACTTTTCTAAGAGCTCAGAGAAATAACCGTGCTACTTTTTAGTAAAGACCCAAGGTCCCCCAGGAGAGGGTACTTGAAATTCATTACTGTTGACAAACTCGCAGAAATCTTTTCATTGGCCTATCTATGGACCACCCTCTTTACTGACAAGGCTCTTCTCTCCTGGTTACATAATTCTCAAACTCTCTTTCCTCTCTAGATCCTTCACGTAGTCATGTTGAGATTTTACTGTTGGACTCGATTGAATACTGAAACGTATCTACATGTGCATGAAACCATTCTGAAAGAAGAGTGAGAATGACAAATAGGAAAATATATTTTTCATGCTCCTCTGTTTTACAAATGAGTATATTTTGTTCCAGCTGTCAACAAGCAAAATTACTTAATGGCTTAGAACTAGAAAAAGAAAGGGGAGCATTTTTGATCAAATTGTGAGTACCTGTTAAGAAGTGCTTATAATACAGAATTCCATCATATGAAGAAGTTTTGTTACGAAAATTCAAATGTATACTTGTTTATGTATTCATGCACACCCGAGTCTTTCAATAGTTCTTTAAATTAGATATAAATGAAACAAAGTACTTGAAGATATACTTAAAATACTTTTCTGTTGATTCTTAGCTACGTAAAGCAAGAAATCCCTAGTGTCAGATAAAGCTGAAAAGAGATGCCTTAGTGCCATACCACAGACAGTGGTTGAAATTTTTATTGATGGAGTGCTACTTTAGCTTGCACATGGAATTCATTTTAATTCAAGTATAAATACTGCACTTCTGGCCAGACTTAGGAGATTTTTTGGCATTCTTGTTGTTCATGTAGGCAAGTGTTCATGACACATGCAACATAAGAGAAAATAAATTTATGACTGCAATATTTAAGTATCTACAAGCATATATACATAGAAGCACAAATTTCAGAGGGCTTGTGTGTCTTCAGAGGTTGTATATGTTGTTTGCACATCTTAAAAATTTAATAAAATGCTTTGAATAATAGATGTTTGAGATACCAAGTTAGAAAATATAATAATTTGTAGGTGCAACCATTTTTTGAATGTCTGCTAAAGTAAATGTGAATCACAGTTCAGCAAGACTCTATAAAAGATCAATTTGCAAGCACAAAACTTCCATAAAACCTGAAAGATACCTAGTTTTTATACCAATGTTAGATTGTCATTAAAGCTTAAAAAGATGGTTGCTTCCTGTCTAAAGCAAACTTGCCAGATCCTGTGAATTGTGCCTGTAGACTATGTATTTGTATACCTCTTCATGGAGAGAAAATTCCAGTGCAGGGGAAATTCCCTTCTGACTTTTTGCCCTTGTCCATTCCCTCTCCTGTCTGGGAAAGAGCAGCCATGTTGGAATTGCTCCACTGGGAAGCAGCTGCTTCTGTGGTCTGGCTCCTTGTCCTACCTTCAAGCTTCCCAGGGCTGTGAAACAGAAGATAGAGCATGTGTGTTCTTGCCATGTCTCCCCATCGACTTAAGAATGGGCAGCACAGATAGATCAGTGAGCATGGTGATGGCATTGTGTTAGGCATCTTTTGGGGCTAGAGTAGATAAAATTGGAATGAAGCCCTCTGTTCATGTTTGTAACAGTGAGATTCACTCAGAAGAGCCTGCTTCAGATTTCACATTATTTATTAAAGTAGTGTTTCTGAAGTATTAGATTTCTAGGGGAAGGACTACATTTTCCATGTGAAAAATTTTAGGAATAGGGCAAAGGGGTCACATTTTACAATGATCTTTTTACTAGAAAAGGGGGAACATCAGGTAGAAATGCAGAATCTTCTTTGCATCAGAGCTGGGGTTGTTCACTGAAAAAAATAAAAAGAAAAAAAAGGTGATAGCTGGGCACAATGTTTTGTGCTGCCTGCTGTTGAGCACTGATTATTGCCAGTTTTAAGATAAAACAGAGATGTTGAGAGGTGAGTTGGGGCTGGTGACTGCACCAGGAATAATTCCATTCTCCAGAATAAGTCTTTAATCCCTTAAGCCCTTGTGCTACTTGGTTTTGGTTCCCTGTAAGGGTGTGATTTATATGTACACCTATGCCAGGGTGAGCTCTGGATAGAGTTCTGCAGGACCATGTCAGTCACAGAATTTTTCCTTCGGTTTCTTACCTGGAAAGTCATTCTACTTTTGGCTATATTTCAGTGGTACACTAGTGAAACCAGGCAAATCTCACGCCTCATGTAAAATATCCACTAATTTCATATCTGTTTTGAATTACTCCAGTTCAAGTGACCTCATTCCCAGAACAGCATTGTGTTTCTTTTCTACTTTGGAATCCTAGGTGGACAAACCTGCTGTCTCTCCCCAGCTGTTTGCATCTTGTGCCAGGTCCAGGAGCTGGAGAAAGGCTATGGTGCTGCACAGGAGCTAGGGAGGATGTGCCCCGAGTATGGCCTTGAACACCAGCTCCCAGGTGCCGCTGCGTGCTGGTGCTGCGTTGCAGTGGATGGCTGGGAAGGGAGGACATCTGTCACATGACTCAGTGCAATCTCATTGACTGGGCAAGGAAAAGGTTGAAAGAGCTGTGGAATACAGCGGGTGTATTCAGGTCTGCTCCACAGCTGCCTTTTGGCAGGACCTTTGGAAGACTGTTGCATTCAAGCAACATTTCTGTAGCTTGCAGGGAGCCCCTCTGTATTGAGCTTACATTACATAGAGATGGCAAACAGACCAGGGAGGCAGGTGTGTACTCTTCCCTTTTCCTTCTCTCCACCTCCCTCTGAAAGTCCTCGCTTATTTTTAGGCAATTGGGTCAAGGAAATGAAAGTCTTAAGACAAAGCTATGGGTCTAGTTCTTACAGTGCATGTGTTGCAGTGAGTATTGGCTGGGCAAGACCTACTGCCCATCACTTCTGCTTCCCCTTTGCAGTGCGAGCAGAGTGAGCCAGGAGGATGTAGTGTGGCTGCTGCACCACAGGCAGAGTTTATTTCCTCTTCTTAGGAAGCTCAAATTTATCAGTTAGGGAAATGCAGCTGTGTGTTGGCTTGCAGGAGGGAATACTGGATCCCCAGCTGAGCTCTGTACATGGAGGAGGGAACTAGCATTCTTGGGGAGAAAGGTACAGGTTAGAAATGCAGAAAGTCAAATAGACAGTGAAGAGATGCAGGATCTGAAATGAGAGGTTCATGTAGATATTGTTGATAAACAGTATGGGATAGTTTTATTCCCCAGGAAAAGACAGGGAGACATCTGGAGGTTGGAATTTAGGGGCTTGTGGCAAACTAGAGTGCAGGAAATCCATGTATGCATGACAGGTAGGAATGTGGACAAGGAAGGTCCAAACTATTACAGAAACAGGGAGCCTCTTTCAGAACATTTGAGGACCAAATCTTAAATGGCAGTTGTGTGTGTGCGGGGGAGTTCTTTTGCACTCTATATGCAAGGTTTGCAATGTGACATTTCTCTGCTTGGAGGGGAAGGAGGAGGCGGTCAACAACTGCTTGCACACTTGCCTACTGTGCATTAATATAGCGAGTCACAGTTTATCTCTAAGATGAGACTTGTCTTATCTGCGGTCTAAGGTTTTAGATATCTGAAAAATAGATATCTTCCTCATAAAATTTTGCGATAGAAAACATCCAGCCTTTCAAAATAAATTATTACTTTCTTGTGCAAATGAAAATTGTGTAGCAGTCTCAACCCTCCTGTGGTTTAACGGGTGATGTATACCACAACTCTTTCATATGAGCCAATTATAAATTTATGGCACTTGCGAAGACATTGATGTGGCTTGTAGATTTTTCTCAAAAT